TGTGGTATTTATTGAAACTTGCTTTATGACCAAGAATGTGGTCAATATCCCAATTGTGCTTGAAAAGAAAGTGTATGTATTAACTTAGGTGCATGGAGAACTATTTATGTATGTATGTATGTATGTATGTATACATACATATATATACATAGCATATAGACATACACAGACACATCAATTCATTAGATTGAACTTGATAATTGTGCTGTTAAAACCTAAGTTCTTATTGACTTTTTTGTCTGATTAATCTAACAGTCTCTAATGAAGGTATGTTAAACTCTCCCACTACAATTATAAATTTGTCAGTTTCTCTTCATAATCCTGTCTATTTTTGCCTTATATCTTTTGAAGCTATGTTACTAAATATATATAATTTAGAATTTTTATATCTTCCTACTGTTAATAAACAACTATTCATTTTATCATTACATAGTGATGTTCTCTATCACTAATAATTATTTTGGCCTTATAATCTATTTTGTATGTTATAAACAGAGCTACACTAGCTTTCTTTCAGTTAGGATTTTCCTGAATAGCTTTTTTCATTCCTTAATACTTCCAACCTGTGACCTTCTGTTTTAGATATGTCTCTTTTAAGGAGCACATTGCTGGATTTTTCAAAATCCAACCTGACACTATTAACTGGAGAGTTTAATTCATGTGCATTTATTATCATCATTGTTTTATGGTATTTGGATTTGTTTCCACCGTTTTAATTTGTGCTTTCTATTTACCATAATTTTTCAATGCTTCTTTATTTCTTTTCTCCTTTCCTGACTTCAATTTGATTGATGGGGTTTTCCCCCTTTTTTCCCTTCAGAGGCTTGGAAGTTATATAGTCTTTTTTTATTATTCCATTTTCCCCTCTACTAATGCGTAAGTTAGGAAGTTATGCACTCTGTTTCTATTTTTTAATGGTTACCTCAGAAATAACAACATAAATAATTAACTTACAGAAGTCTAAATTAAAAAAAAAATCCTTTCCCTTCCTTCCAGATAATACATGAGCTTGGAACATTTTAACTCCATTGACCCTCTCAACTCATATGCTTATTGTTGTCTGGTATTTTAAGTCTAGATTGCTTTCAAATCCCACTAGCAATGATTATTATTGTTTTATACTTCCATATTTATTTAAATTTGTCCACATATTTACCATCATCTTTACTTTTCATTCTTTCTTTCATCACAGATCTTCTGCTTAGGATCATTTTCCTTCTACTTTCTACTTACAATACACTCTTTTGAATTTCCTTTAGTAAAGATCTGCTGGTGAAGAACTATCTCAATGTTTGTGTGAAAATGTCTTTATTTTACTCTCATTCTTTTAAAAATATTTTTGCTGAGTATAGAATACTAAGTTAACAATCAGCAAATTGAAGATCATTCCACCATCTTCTGATTGTTGAGAAGTCAGCTGTCAGTCTAGACTATCGCTGTCCCTATGACATGATCTGTCATCTTTCTCTGACTCCATATCTTCTTGCTCTTTGGTTTTCTGCAGTGTCTGGTGTAGATCTCTATTTATCCTATGTAGGATTTGTTGGGCTTCTTGAATGTGAGGATTCATTTCTTTCATTAGGTCTAGAAAAATTCTCAGCCATTATCTCTTCAAATATGACTCTGCCTCATTAATATTCATTTCATATTCTCTTTCTCTCACACTATAATCAGATGTGGGCTAAATTTTCTCATTGTATCCTCTACATCTCTTACTCTCTCTCCTGTACTTTCTATTTCTTTTCCTCTCTCCATACTGCATTCTTGATCATATCTTCAGGTTTATCTTCTAGTTCATTAACACTCTCTTTTCTCATGTCTACATTTCTGTCAGAAACATTCATTGAGTTGGTATTTTTCACTTCTAGAAGCTCTTTTTTTCCCCAATATGCTATGTCACTGTTTATAGATTTCCCTTCCCTGTAGATATTTTCAAATTAACAATTTGTTTCTTAAACATGGTACACATAGTTGTTTTAAAATATGTGTCTGGTAATTCTATTATCCAAAATCTGTGTGGGTCTGTTTCTATTGTTTCTTATCCCTGCTGTTTCTAACTCAAGTTGCCTTGTTTCCTTCTGTGCCTGTCTATTTTAGTCGGCTTTCTGATCATTGCCCATGAAAATTTATTTGTGGGGATGAGGCCTGGAATGAGTACATTCTACTCCAGAGGCTTTGTATTTGTTTCTACCAAGCACTGTGGCATACTACCTGTCTGGGAGCCACCTAAAATCAAGTTCACAGCTTGAAGTTCCTTGGCTAATTCAGGCAATGGGTGATAGGGATGCAAATCTGTTTGAGTACTGGAGTGTGGCCTCATTTTGTCAGGGATGGATTTTTTTAACCCCCCTCCCCCTTTTTTACCCTTTCTTTTTAGCAGAAGAGCTCTGCTTAGTGCAAGGCAGCCTTCTGTACAGTTCTCTGAGATTGCTGGGAAAAGGGACATGTTTCATTCTGGTTTGCCCTTATGCTGCTCGTGTAGCCCTTGGGGTCTCAGCCTAACGTGGAGAAGGTCCCCTATTAAATTCCTACCTTGGGCTTGCCCTGAGCCTTGACTTCTGTCTTTCTAGCCCCGTGTGACCATTGAGTCAAAGCTCAGGTATGCACTGTAGGTCAATGCCCTCAGAGAAAATTGGCTTTGGTGCACCAATATCTCTGCTTACCTGTCTGGTTACAAGCTTTCATCCAAAAATTGGCCTGGAAGTTTCCCTCTGTCCTCTCAGCTCTTCATTGCATTTAAAGTGGTTTTGAAATATTCTATCCAGCATACTTTATTACTTCAATAAAGAAAGATGAATCAAATAACCAAGCCTGCCGTTGCCAGAAACTAGAAGTCCATATTCTTAAATGCTTAAACATTCATACTTGATTTAACAAGGTCTAAATTCAGGCAATATCCATACCTTCTTCCCAAACAATACAAGAACTTAGAATGCTTTAAATATTAATAGTCCTCTGTTGTCTTATATGTTTTTGTGCTCGTGTTTTTAGTGCCAGCTTGTTTTTATACCTCCATATTGCTCAACATTATTATTGTTTTATACACTTAATGATTTCCCCATGTTTACCAATTTTTGTTCACTGTTCCTTGCCTCCTATTCACCCCTTTTCTCTGATTTCAGTTTCTTTCTTCCTGAAGTGCATCTTTCAGTAGTTATTTTAGTGAGAGTCTGTCATTACTAAACTTTCTTAGGTTTGTTTTTTCTGAATGTCCTTATTTCACTCTTAAAAAGAGTAGTAGTTCTTCTCATCAGTATTTCGTAGGGGTACTAATTCTCCTTGTGGCAACTGATAACTCCTTCATGGTGTATCATTTCTTTGCAAGTACTATATTTTTGTGTTTATTTCTGAGCACATCTTCAGCAGGTATTGTCTTTTTCTGTGGGGTTCCATGTGCCCTGGATTGTAAAAATGTATTTATTTTTGCTGAAGTTCTAGGGGTTTCAATGGTTCTGCTTTAATTTTTATTACAATTTTTCAGTATGTGGTTCCCATAACACACAGTAGGGCAAATTTAGACCCCACATCAACATATGACATAGGCCTGGGGATTTTATTTCTTCTGCTGGCTCCAGAGAGAGCATAAGACTTTTCACTGCTTACTTTCCAAACCCCTTTTAAAGGGCAGAGAAGCTACTAAAGGCTTTGTCCAGAGGTTTCCATTGAAGCTTCTCTGACTCTGGTAGACTTGAGGTTGTGTTGCCAGTACCTGCATGGGCATTAGATCCCCAGCTCTAAGCCTGTAGCCCCTAGGTCCTGATATCTGGAACCAATACCACAAGGGATTATTGCAGTGTCCCTTTACAATTACTAGATTGGCTTTTTCTTTTTGCTTCTCTGGAGATTTGACTTTTTGTTTTTTTAAGCTCAGATATAAATTAAATTTGTTATAGTTTATCTAGTGTTAATATGTGTTTGTAGTTGGGGAGAAGCTATTCATGTCATCTTAGTATGCTATATAGCCAGAAAAAATACATACTTTATACGTGTGATTTTTCACCTTACTTATAATTAAGCATTTTCCCTTATCACTTCCATTATCATAAATACATACTTCTTTAAGTTCCAAGGAAATTAAGTCCCCCTCAGGACCATCTAGGTTAAGGGCACATTTGAGCCAGGTCTCTGTAGCATGTTGGATTATTTTCCAGATATACTACTCATGTAGTTTAAATATATCACTCCCCTGGAGTTTAAAATTCCTTAGCATAGTGATTTTCAAATTTTAAAGATTTTAGTAGCAGAACCCTTTCTTCAAATATTACTTGGAACCCCAAAATATAAAATAAGAGGGGAACTGCTCTGGTTGAAGTGGGGTTGAGCGTTCCCAATCTTCACCAATTTACCCTCCCTCTTGCTCCCCAAGGTGCTCTCCAAGGTGCTCCTGGGGCATCTCCTTGGGCTCCAAGAACCATGGTGTGAAAACAAATTGAATAGATCAGTGGTTCTCAAAGTGTGATCCCAGAACCAGAAACATGAGCATCACCTGGGAATGTATTAGAAATACAAATTATCAAGCCCCATCCCAGATCTACTGAAATCAGAAATTCTGGGGGCAGGACCCAGCAATCTGTGTGTTAACAAGACCATCCAGGTGACTCTGATGCAAGCTAAAGTTTGAGAACTTACTAGAATAGAGTTTCCCATTCAGGAGCTATTGGAACAGGGATAGGGTCCAATATTATTAGACAGAACAGGGCCCAGGATTAACATTTCTGGGTAATTAAATTATCCCAAACTTATCTGGAAGGCTGTTTTTCATCCACCATTTTCTTGTACCTGACTGAGATTATAAACACTCTCGAGGTCCAACTTTGCAATGGCCTGGGTCCCTTTGAATTGGTCCAATATGTGAGAAATCACTGTGAAGAATAGGGATTCTTACTTTTAGTTCTTTAGACAGAAATAATGACACTCTTCATATTTTTTTTGACAAAAAGACTTCATATCTGAAGCTCATTAAATAATATTGAGCAAAAGAAGCCAGAAGCAAAAGTATACATATTGAACAATTCCATTTATAGAAGGCAAAAAAAAGGCAACACTAATCTACAGTGAAAGAAGTCAGGATAGGGATTACCCTTTGGAGTTATTGACTGGAAGGAAGCAGGAGGGGGGCCTGACTTATGGGTAATGTTCTGTTTCTTGATCTGACTGTTGTTTACAGGGATATGTTCATTTTCTATAAATTCATCAAGTTGTACCCTTATGATATATGCACTTTCCTGTATATTTGATATACTTCAATACAAGAGTTTAAAAATGGTATTGGGTCACCTGCAGGGGAAGGTCAGTATGTAATGACACACTGATGTGGGTGCTGAGCTTCATACTCTCAGATGACCTGGGCCTTCACTTCTGGGTGTGAAAATACATTTGGTGCAAATGCAGGTTCCTGGCACCAGGTCTACTGCATTATGACAATATGAATTCAATGGGGGCCACTCTGTTTCTTGATTGGAAAAGACCTCTTGGTTGATGGCATCCCTGATCAGGATTCCCTGTGGATGGGGAAGAAGTGAGGCAGTTACCTATGTGAACTGTGGGCCAGAGTAAGTTTCAACATCTACCTACTCTAGGAAATGGAAAGTGGTAGAGTTCTGGATTTTCAACCAGGTTAGGCCAAGAAACTGTGGGAAGCATGTGTAATGGATGAAAGGGAAGTACCCCATTGTTTGGTCCCTCATTCTGAGCTCTGTGGGTACATAAGGCCCCCCGTTGTGAGCACCCATCTTTTGCCTGTGCCCTTCTGGACCTGGATCATAAATCTACTTGTGAACTGAGTTTCCCTGGCCTTAAGCTGAGATGGAATCTTAAAGAATTAGCTTAAATTTCACCAGCTCTTGCCCACATGTGCTCACACAGGAATTCCAGCCCTCAGGTAAAATAGTCCAATTGTGTCTGAAAGTCCCCAGTAGGTCACAAACTAATCTGTTTTTGGCATCTCACGTGTTCTTCCTTACTTATTCTGGGCCCCATCTTTGTGTACTCTCCCCATGAAGCTGCTTAAAAAGTACTTACCCCTTCCCTGCCCCCTCAACTGCTGCTGTGCCCACCATGGGAATGTTGATAAAGGTGCCAAGGGTGTTACCTCCTGATCCCCCTAAAGGCCCCAACCATGGAGGTACCCACCCATGTGCCAGACATGCTCAAACAGGCCTGAATCTCCATGTGAGCTCAAGGTAATACATACCTGCTGAATACGTGATGCCCTGGGTCCCACGGTGGTGAGATCTGAAAGCAGGCCCTGGCTGCTGTTACATTCCATTTCTCAATATGGGGGTTGGTGACGGATAGGGGCATAGGGCTGGGCTTGAATGGCTCCCCTGTTGCTGAGGGACAATGGTGTTTTCCAGAGGAGGTGCGTGCTTCAATCAGGAAGTGCCAGGCACAGCTGCTCCCTCTGGTGGTCTGTGCCTTCCACCAGTGGAGACAGGGAGGTCAGCTTCAGCAGTCTCGCGCCATTCATATTTCTTAGAACTATTCCTGAGTGCAGGGTATTTAAAAGACAGTTTCTGTATCAGACAAACCCAAAATGAGGAACATTCTATTAAAAATGCTAATGCCATACAAGACAAAAAAACGTTGTGGAAATGTTCCAGATTAATGGAGGCTAAAGAGACATGACAACTAAAAGCAATACCTCACCCTAGACTAGATGCTGTGATGGAGAAGGAAAATGCTATAAAGGACATTATCGGATCAACAAACAAAATTAGAGCACAAATGGTAGATAATACCGTTGTATCAATGTTAAATTTACCGAAGCTGTTAACTATACTATGATGTAGAGAATATGCCTATTATTAGGAAATGCACACTGAAGTACTTAGACATGAAGGGCCATGACGTATGCAATGTGTGTAAACTTGACCCTGATATGGTCCAAAACTAGACACACACACACACACACACACACACTTATGAGAGACTGCATACAGGCAAACAATAAAGCAAATGGGGTAAAATGTTAGCAATAAGTGAATCTGGTAAAGGGTATACAGATGTTCTTTATACTATTTTTATTTTTGCAACTTTCCTGTAAGTTTAAAGTTATTTCCAAATAAAAATGTTTTTAAAATGTAAAAGACAGTTTCTGTACAGGCAGTCAGAACCTGGTGGCACATGCTTGATTGAACTCTTCTGTGGCAGAGAGGAGGGATGAGGACATGGCTTTCTTCCCAGGCAGGGCTACCAGACACATCCCAAAAGGTAGTCAGACACCCTGCATGAAGCTGCCAAGTGGCATCTGAGGCCATTCATCTCTTGATCTTCCCCATTCTACAAGATACCAAAAATAACACTTTTTACATTTTCTCCTGAGGATTATGGGCCCTGGGTGTTGGTGAAAATTTGGTTATGAAAGGAAGGTGTATTGGTTCATTCATCCATCTAATAAATGTTTTGAACATCTACTTACTATGTGCCAGGAACTGTGCTAGGGGCTGAGGATGCCTCTCAGAGGAGACACAACCCCTGTCCTAAAAAAGCCTATAAGCTAGTTTGGGATGCAACCACAACCACATAAATAAATGTATATTTCCAAATGAGTTGACCATGAAATAGACTTGGGAAGCCCCGGGGGAGCCCAGCCTTTTACCAGAGCCAATGGATTCAAGCCCCATGGGTCTGATATACATTCATTCCCCGCCCCCCAGGATTTTCTAGATTGTAGGTGCTTTTGTACCTGATGCTGAGGGAGAAAGAAGGAACCACCAGTGCTTACCCCATCCTGGAGGCATCCCATCTGTTTCGGCTTAGCTCTCTGCAGGCTGCTCTACCCTCTGTGAGAATCAAGGAAGAGGCCAACATGCCACTCCATCACTACCCCTGAGCTGGTGGACCAGTGAGTTTGGAAAACAGTGTTTCTGCTGATCCATGCCTGCAGGTGAATGCAGCAGCTACACCCATAAAGCTTTTGGAAGACCAAGACCACCAACACCCTCGTATGGAAGCCTGGTAGCATACTGGCCCTGAGTCCCATCACTGAGGTGCTGAGTCACGAAAACAACATGATGGTCTTCCAAATGGACAGAATAATGACTTCTGGGGACAGTTGTGGCTCTCCTCAACCCTGGGTATGGCACCAACTATGATGCCCTGCACACAGGGACGACAGTGGAGTCCATTGCCTTGGGGCTCCAAGTAGACAGTGCTGGGGAGGGAGTTGTAAGAGTGTGTATGTGTGACTGCATGTGACACGATGTGTCTTTTCTGTCCATGGGTCTCAGGTGGGACTGACCTCACCTCTGCTGCACTCTGGTCCTGGTTCAAAGAAGTTTCAGATCCAACAAACGTTTACTGAGCCCCTACAAAGTTCCAAGCCTTTTACTTTATACTTTGACACATTTTATATCATTTAATCTTTAACAATAACCCTTTAAGGTAGGAATTATCTGCATTGTACAGATGAGAAAACAATCGCAAAGAGGTTCATTGATTTGCTCAAGTATATCATACAGCTTTTTTTTTAAACACTCACACACTATACTCTTAGCTGAGGCCTGTCTGTGTTGGTTGCTTATCTTACAGTACTTCTTGTCTTCTCTACTTTTGGAGCAATTGCTCCCCTTATACAAGCCCCCTTCTTTCTTCTCCTTTCACTAGCCCACGTGGGCTTTTCTTTTTTAATACTGCACTTAATAGCACAAAAAAATCACGAATACAAAGAAACTGGCAAAGGTGTTTGTCAATGAGATATCCCTGCCTCCACTTTTCCGCTTTCATACCCATATATGTAATGGGCTACATTTTTATAAACTTTTCTTTTCCCCCCACCAAAACATATAACTGTTAAGTGATTGGTCAGTTGAAGCTGAAACACCCATGGAGAAAGATGTTTTACGGTTACAAGGGCACACCCCCCCCACCACCCCCCTCCCACCCCACACTTTCCCACACAATCTTTTGGAGGAATATAGGATATGTACCAGTGTCAGGATTTCCCTGCTCCTGCCTTCCCCACCCAGAGCATTCCTGCCATTTAATTTTCCTTTAAGTGACTGCTTAGACTAGAGCCTCTTCTCCCGCCCCTTCTATTTCTCTTCCAATCAGGACCTTTCAGACACTGGGTACTGTTCAATTCTTACTCTGTCAGGCCCATGGGCCATGCAAGTAGGTCCTTTAAAATCTCGATGCCAGTTGTAGTATGGGTGTCATCATCTTCCATTACAGGTAGGTCTGTGTGTCACTTCAATAGGCTTGCATATTCATTTCTTTCACTTTTTCTGACTCATGTTCCAGGACTTGTTTGTGATAGAACAGTAAATACCCTTCACTGTCCAGAACGTCCTTAATACTGGCCTTGGTGATGACAGCATCATCACACTTGAACCACTGGTCCTTGTGGTGCCGGATGAAGCTGGTATAGTGGCCACTCTCCAAGGTTCCTTGGTGATTAACCACAGCAAACAAGGAATACTTATTCTCGTCGTTTCCACTATTGGTTGGCAGCTGCAACTGTCCATTCATCCTGCTCTCTTTACTTGAGGCCATAAATGGTGTCATATCCAGCTCCAGAGGAAAGGATATGTATGTAGTGATCTTGCGCCTCTGTTTGGCAGAGTGTTCAAACCGTTTGAAATGAAAACACGCAACAACAGGTAATTTATTCATTGTGAGCTGTTTGGTGGATTCCTGGTAGCTCTGGCAACTACCGCATTTGATTTTGGCACTGCTTCCTAAGTGCTCTGGCCTCGTAAACCTTCGCAAGCAGTCCGTGAGGGTGGTGATTCCTGGTATGTGGCTTTCCCCATTCACACTGCTCTCCCTCCCTGGGCTCATGGGCCAGAAGGAGGTGCAAGAGCCAGGCAAGTCCAAACTGATGTCCCAGCATGGGTCTATCGTGGTGGAGACACCATGGCAGGCTTGACAGGTGACATCAGACTGCAGGCCACCTGTGAAGATTTGGTCTATGATGCAATTACAGTGGTTGGGATTGTTGGCCGCCTTCCCAGCATCATCACCTTTGCAGTGCCTGTGCAGGACATCTAACGCTGCAATGAGGAACTCATGGGCATCCTGTTGTCTGTACCCTGCTAAATGACGTGCATGGATCCATACTAGGTGCAGTAATTTATAGGGAACGTGAGGAGATGGGTTTCCAGAATACAACTCCCGAAAAAGCGAAGCCATCTCACAGACCAGACACAACTCGGGACTTGGCATTTCACATCTGTGCCTGTCAGAGAGAAAGAAATCTCTCAGTATCGGAGTGTGGGTAAGGGCCTGGACGATGCAGTTCATAAAGCATGTGTTGCCAAGATTGATTAGTCCTCTTAAACCGATGGTAAAGCTGGAGGTGATTCTTCTTCTTCTTGGGTTGTGTCCCAGCAGTTCTAACTCGGGTTTGGTTGTCTCCCAGGTTGGATATTTCTCACCAAGGCCTGACATTGAACACTGCTGGTGAGAAACCTCGGTTGAGGTGGAGGCTTGTAATTTCAAAGCTTCTCCTTGCTCTTCTTTGGCAATTTGTTCAATGTCTTTGTCATATACATAATCCTTACACATAAAGCAGTATATACCTCCATAATAAAGGTCTACGGCTAAGTTGTGTTGTTTTGTCTCAGCGTGTTCATGAATGTGTTTCTCTGTGAAGCAGCCAAAGAAGACACAGGAAAGGCAAGAGTGGAGTCTGTTCAAATGGGTGCCGCACACATGGCAGATGCACGACTTTGCCTTGCTTTTCCTGGTCTCTGGGGTTCCACACCACACGAAGCACTGGTAGATCACCCGCAGTTCCTGCCTCCAGTTCTCTCCCACCTTAAAGCTGTTCACGTGGGAACAGCCTGGTGGACCCACAGTGAAATCCACATCCAGGCATCCGCCCCCAGGGCCGCGCCGGGGCCGGGGCCGGGGTGGGGGCCGTGGCCTAGGCTGTGGCGGGGTACGGAGCCGTGTCTGCGGTCGCGGCCGAGGTCGGCGGCGGGGGGCACGACTGCGCCGCGGAGAGGGATCGGGGGGCCGCGGGGGGTCGGAGGGGAGGGTGGGGGTTGGAACCTCGTCGCTGCTGCCGCCACCGCCGCTCCGCGCTGGGTTCTCATCCTCCAGCTCCTGCTTCGGCTCCCCCTTCAGCTCCTGCTCCGCCTCCCGTACCGGCTCGGGTTCGGGCTCCAGCTTGAGCTCAACCCGGCGGCCCGGACCCTCCGCCGTCTCCACCTTCCCGGTGGCGTCCACCTTCCCCGCCGCCTCCACCTTCTCGGCGGCGTCCACCTTCCCCGCCGCCTCCACCTTCCCTTCCACCTTCGCCTCCACCTTCCTCTCCCCCTTCTCCGCCGTCTCCGCCGTCTCCGCCTCCTCTACCTCCTCCGCCTCCACTGGCGGCGGCTCCTCCCCCTGCTCGCAGGGCTCGGGCGGCCACTGGGCGTGGCGCCGCGGGGGCCACGCAGACCTGGGGTGTCCCCCGCCCGGCCTGAGGGAGCGCGGTGGCTGTGGCAGCTGGACCCAGAAGGGACTTTCACTGAAGGAGGCGGCGGCGGAAGCAGGCGACGCCCCCGGGAATCCTCCCGCCGTAGCCCCCTAGCGGAGGCCGCTCTGCAGCCAGGCCCCGTTTCCT